GTGAGCAGTGCTCTATAGCGTCATTTTGAGGGTAGGAGTTGAAACAATTTATGTCCAGGATGTGAGGGGTCTGTAAATATTTAAATAGTCTCCTCTTATGGGATCTAGGAAATATGTCTTGGTGTTAGCACCAACTCTCTGGAACAAGATCTATATCAACCTTGCCATTATTTAAAAGAGTTATTTCTTCAAAACATAAGTCAGGCCATCATAGAAGCTTATTATTTGAATATTTGTGGATTGTTGTTAATGACTAGTTTTTTCCCCTGAATATGACTACACCTATATTGTTTTAAATTGCTAACTTTGGTGTCTGTCTGTGTGTGTGTGTGTGTGTGTGTGTGTGTGTGTGTGTGTGTGTAAGTAAGGTGCTTCCAGGAAGGCCTTTGCTACTACAGAAAAAAACCAAACTTCTTAATTTATCTTATTTAGATATTAATCCATTATTCCTTCTTTGAGTTTTCTAGTTGTACAAAGCTATTTTTCATTTAATACTATACGGCACATTCTAAGCAAAGGTGGTAATGGTTCCTGCGGACTTTTAAATAGGTCTAATCAACTTTCTTTTTTTTCAAAATTAAGGCAATCCTATTAAAAAATGGAAGATTTGGGTAATGACGGAAAAGAAGATGCTGTAGGCAATTTTTTGAGATCCACTATGTTCCTTAGTATAATCTCAGATTTAAAGGACTGAAAACATAATTTTCTCCAGAGATACAACACTCAGCGAATGCTTGATGAGAAAAAGTATACAAATGTGTTTAATAATTAAAACCAATGGGCATTTGCTAAATAGCCAAAAACGGCAAAATCCATTCCATCGCTAAAACTGTTGTTCAAGAGCCCATTATTCTTGAATTATAAGAGAATTATTTATAGTGCCACTAATTAATGTTACTGAGAAAATAAAAATAAAATCATCTGCAAATTCATTTTTGAACCAAATTGGAAATCATTCTATCACATTATGGCTATAAGTCAGCCAAAGCCATCCCACTAAAAATAGAAACTCATATAAAAACATCAAACTCTTCATTGCCCTAATAAATATCAAACATTTTACTAAAGATCAAGTTGCTACAGGCAGAATGGCAGACAGTTTAAATTTATTTAAAACAAAAGGGCTTGAAACTTGTCAATACTAAGACAGACACAGACAGACACAGAAGAGGCAGCATCTGATAGTAGGCAAGAAATCCATATACGTTTGACAGAGTCCCAAAGCAGGGAAATTCCCTTCCCTCATTCAGTTGTTTGCACAGATAGTTTTGTACTCAATCTGTGTTGGAAACCTTAAGTATGAAGCAAAATCTTTCAGCACTTGTTTGGTGAGACAAACAAAAAGGGCAGGGGTGTGTGTGTTAAATTATTTGTTATTTGTTTACTTGTATCCCACCTTTTTTATTTTTACAAAAATAAGGTAGCAAACACCCAACACACGTTCCTCCTCCTCTTTTCCCCACCACAACTCTTGTGAAGTGGGCTTTGTGGGCTGCCACAAAGAAGAGGGAATCAAGCTATTCTCCAAAGCACTTGTGGGTAGGATAAGAAGCAATGGGTGAAAACTAATCAAGGAGAGAAGCAATTTAGAACTAAGGAGAAATTTCCTGACAGTTAGAACAATTAATCATTGGAACAACTTGCCTCCAGAAATTGTCAATGCTCCAACACTGGAAGTTTTTAAGAAGATGTTGGATAACCATTTGTCTGAAGTGGTGTAGGGTTTCCTGCCTAAGCAGGGAGTTGGACTAGAAGATCTCCAAGGTCCCTTCCAACTCTGTTTCTATTCTATTCTATTCTATTCTATTCTATTCTATTCTATTCTATTCTATTCTATTCTATAGTCACCCAGCTGGCTTTCGTGGCTGAAGTGGGACTAGAATTCACAGTCTTCCGTTTCTAGTCTGGTGGCTTAACAAATCTCGGTTAGGTGTCAAAACCAGAAAAGGGATCCTTGGATAATACCAGCCTTGCAGAGAAGCTGAACTTTTAACCCAGAGTTCCAACTAATAGCATGCATGTAATGTAATGTAATTCCGTGAAATTGTGGCAAATTAAAATTGTGGTCCTTGGCGATCTTAAGTGCTTTGAATGCTATTGCCAGATCAACCATAATTTTAAAAAAGGCCTCCAGAGGACGCCTTTGCACAGAGGGAGGGTGGCAGACGAAGTCACACATGGGCGACTCTGTCATGCAAATGTCACAACTTGATGCAAGTATGCAGTGACAGCCTGAGCATGACACCATTGTGTGTGAATTGCCATGTTGTTGTTTCAGTTTGTTAGGAATGCTGCTGCCACTTCTTGAATAAGCATTAAGCTCAGTGACTCTTCAAAACTGAAGACTATCCTTGGCCTGAGAAGGAGGGAAAGTAAAGGTGAATGGCTATTTAAATAAGTGAAACAAGGACTGTATAATCTGATTGTTATGAGGCCAGTAAAAGTTAATAGCAGGAACATATGGGAACAGTGGTGGGTTGTTCCTGGTTCGGTCCGGTTCTATAGAACCGGTAGTAAAATTGGCAGGAGGCTCCGCCCACCCGCCACAACATCATTGTGGGTGATCTGTGCATACTCACTCCCGCTGCGAACCGGTAGTAAAGGTAAGTGGAACCCACCCCTGCATGGGAACATAACTAGTGGAGAGAGGATTTAACCATGTATAGGTGAATTATTTCTTTCTGAACTATACCTTAATTGTTTTCAAGAATTACGTAGCACCTGCTATTCTTCTAAACACATACATGTATTTCCCCTCCATACTTTTTATAGTGAAAGATATTCATCAGCAGGGATTTGATTTAAATCAAGTCAATTTAAATCACAATTTAAATCACTAGTAAAAAGGCTTGATTTAAATCAACTCGATTTAAATCATAATTTTTAAAGCGCAACTGTCATCTCTGTCCCGCAGCAGCTCCTCCTCTGGCCTGCTGTTGACTCACCAACAGTCCCAATATTGCAGAATACCGGTATATAGCCTCATGCTACATAACTAAGCTTCATTTCATGCTAAATAAACTAAATTATTAATGTATCTTAAATAGAAAGCTATCTTTAGGTAGATTTTTACTCCAAAGCATTTTATTAAAATAAATTTGATTTAAAAATTTAAAAAATCCAATTTAAATAAAAAAACTGATTTTTTTTTTAAATCATCGATTTTTATGGATTTTTATCCATAAGGCTATTACTAAGTGTTAAAACTAGCCACGCACTATGTATCCTTCCCCATCCACTCATGCATTGTGGTGTTTGTAATACCCGACAGTATTTCTCTTTCCGCACCTCTGCGTCTTGCAGTTGAAATCAGATGGTAAAACAATAGAAGATTCATGGATTGGCAGATGGAGCTATATATGGATCAGAGAGTCACATATTGCACGGATTTCTGATTGGGTGTTAGAAATGGGGCATCTTCCATTAGATGGGCCATAACTGAGCAAAGAGGTGGGATGGACTTCTTAATGGGAAATTATGGTTGGATGAAGTTGGTGAACTCCTCAAAAAAAAAAAAAAAAAAGGTAGGTGAGAAATTTATTATGATTATACAATTATGAGGATAATTCTTGAGAGCCTATCAGAGAAATTCTGTTGATCAATTTATACCTAGCATAATTTAACAGAGTTACTCTGAATCTCATTTCTCTCCTTCCCTGGACTAAGGGAATCTTTTCTGTAACAATCCAATTCTGTCCTGTAAAGCTCTTGTGTTAGAATTTCAAGCTCTTTAGCTCTCATCAGCTAGCCACACCCTTCTGAGATTCGAACCCAGGCTACTTGCATATTAGATAGATGTATTAACCTCTAAGCCAGCTATATACTCCCTTTGTCAACTATATCAAGGGAAAGATTGTGTTTTGTCAGGACAACCTGGTCTACCCAATTATGGAACAGAGCATACTGCTTCCGTTTTTGCCTTTCAGCCCCAAACATAAATTCAACACAAAAATAATTTGTTGCGAAAGTGACTGCCTGCAAAGGCTCCTGGATTGGGGCTGAAAGGCTGGATAGATCAGGTTGTCCTCACAAAAAACACTTAATGTAAAACTCTTTCTTCCTCCTCCATGATCCACAGAATCTGTCATCTGTCATATTTAAATGCAGAACTCGGTGCACTGAGCCATATTGTTTGTAGTAGGAGCGGAATGGCTTGCAAGGATTGAAAAGCCTGGAGATATCTCCTTTGCTATTATACACCTGGTTAATTAATGAGATCGCCAGGAGAGTTTTTATTTCCTGCAGCCTTCGCTAATCTAGCCATCCTCCCCATACCTAAATGTTTGCTTCTGATGAGATGAAAAGTGCTTTCTATATTTACATTATGCAGAGTTCTTGTTTACTCGTGTTAAGTGGGTTGCTGGCGGGTGCACATTCAGTATCCTGGGAATGCATCAGTATTCAGTCTAATAAGTACAATCTCTCCTTTTCTACTCAAGGTGTGTGCCTGCCATGTGTGTGATGTGTCGAACTTATTGTTACAGCTGTGCATTCTAGAGATAATTGTTTTGACAGGCTCTCTGTTCATAATAGAGCCCTCTGGTCTTCCCTTGTATTTTCCTTTATGGTGATCACTTGAGAAACATAATGCATCAGTGTTTGCTAATGTCATTCTAACTTACTCTTCCTTTTGAAGAGTGATCATATAGATGATGTTTCAGTCTTGGAGTGTTTGAAAAAGGAAATTAGTATAAGTTCAAGATGCATCTTTTCTGGCAGTGCTATTAAAGACCTGAATGCTAGCTTCTACTTGACCTCAAGGTGTCTTGCATTATATATTTTATTATTTGGTATGGTACATAAAAGAGATCTATTATATAACAAGGTCAAGTTACACTTGTCAATATCTTCAGGACCCTTCAGGAAGTAGCAGAAGGTCTGTTTGGGCACATGTAACTACCATCATTGAGAAGATGCTTTGCTTTTGGAATTTTTTCAGGTATTCTCACCTATTTTGTCTACTTGCTCTAACAGTATGTTATCATTTTGTCTTTGATCAGGAGAGACCCCAAAGCGAACATTCACTGACGCACAGGAGAAGGGATCCGAGCAGCATGACTGATTCATTTTATATTAGTAGGTAACTTTCTTTTCTTTTTCTGCTATTGATTTTATAAATGATCAAGCATAAAGCATCCAGAAATCTTCAGGTTGGTTTGGAACTAGATGTGACTAGTAATAACTAAAATATTCTGAGGTGGCTCAGACTTGTGACATAATCCCACAGACTCTTCCTGTAATTTTGAGGAAATCCCTTTTTCTCCTCACATATGTCCTCATATCCTAAAATATGGCAAGTGGAATAAGACTCTATGGTCTTTCTAACTTTCTTCAATCCCGTTTCTATGTGGCACTTTAAATAATTTGAGCAGCAGCTTTAATTGAATCTATTATTATGATGTCACAAGCATCTGTTGCAAATTAACATTATATCAAAAACGATGACATGTGCAGTGACATGAAGCAAGTATGTAATTAGCAGTTTTGTTTCTTACCTCCCTCCCTACCCCAGAGCACCTTTATCTCTTTCTATTATGTTGATTGTGTTTTTACTGCACATTGTCTTGGGAGCTTTCACAGAAGAATAATTTTAAAAATAATTAGAATGTTTAAAATATGGCAACTGCCATGCCTATGCATAATGTAAAAACACTAAGAAGACGGGGAAGAAATCATTTATGTGTTCTCTGGTTTTATTTCATTCCTTTGGATCAACAACAATGATAACACTGGATGTGGGGTTTCCAAAAAGAACATCTGAAACTTTTGCCTCTTTCAGAAGTTAGTAAGCATCTTTTGATGGCGGTGTTAAAAATAATGTAAAACAAATTTCTACAGTAGTTTTAGTTTATTTAAGTGCATGATGGTAATCAGATTATCTATTATATTTTGGAGATACCTTATTTAAGTTAAAAGCTATCTATTTGCCAATGAATATCATTTTAGTAACTTTGCTTGCAATATAATATGGAAATGCAGAGAGAGAAATAGACTGAGTGAGTTACGGGTTTAGAAGTGTGAATCTCACTCTCAAAACTGATTCATAGAACATCACATTTTTTTTCTGTTTCTGAAAAAAAAAGTTTTTCTAAGTATGGACATCATTAATTTTGTTATGAATGTATTGGATAGAAAGATGCATTGTGTTTGATTTTTTTTCTTAAGAAATTATCCATGTTACCTGTATGAATTTTTGGTTAATCAAAATATTTTAAATGGTAAACTGAGTTTCTATATAGAAGAAGAACAGAACTCAGAGTTAACAAATAAGCTAAAATCTACAGGCAGAGCAAATAATTTCATACCGCTCACCTGTTTATTGTTAATGCCTCAAAGCACTTAATCTCTGTTCTGTTTCAAAATGAACACAAGCTTTTGCCACATCTGGTGCTCACCTCTGTGTGTGTGTGTCTACCTCCTCTTTCATTTTTCATATACTTGTTCTGACATAACAGAGAATTAGATATGATCATTCAGCTAGAGGAAAAAAATATAAGTATCTCCATTTTATTTCTTTCAGCAAATATTAAAATACCACTTCCTGTTGAAATATGGAAGTGTTTTGGAAAGTTTTCTTCTAGAACTACCTAGGGGGAGAAGGAAAAAGAAGAAAAGGAGAAGGAAATGGTTACTGATGCAGAGCTAAGAGGCTGTAGCATTTAATGAATTTGATTTCTGTATTTCTGGAAGTATGAAGCATAAGAGTCGGTGAATAATATTCATACATAGTTGGTGTTCCTTAAGGAATAAATAAGATTAATGGGACTGTCAGTGGTGTTTGCAGAGAGAAATTTCATCTGGTTTATGGATTAAACCTTCATTTTTATCTATCTGGATGCTGATAATTGTGCAGAAAGGTTAAAAGTTGTAATATATTCCAGAAAAGCAGATATAATTGGAATTTTGGCCTGCAAGGTATTAAATATATGAAAAAATTACATGTTCTAAATATCTTATATATAGATGACCATATATATATATAGATAGATACGAGGCTAAATACTGGCTACTTGTAGAGTTAAATGATTCAGAAATCTCACATCAAAAAATTTAACTGCAGGTAGTCCTCACTTAACAAATGGCTTCCTGAAATTATGATAGACCCCCCCCCCCCCCCGAAAAAAAAAGTTACTTACAATCTGGTTCCAGAGTTCTTATGGTAGTCACATAACTGCATTTCTAGGTGCAGTAGGCAACCAGCTCACTTTTATGACCAGTTGCGTTATTGACCTTGATTTATGATGTGTTTTTTTTTTCTGGTTTCCAGCCTTTTCATCTGATTTCTAGCAACAACAACAAAACAATAGGAATCCATTCACGCCCATAGGAATGAATGGATTCACTTTATTATCATGGGATTTGCTTTTCGACCACAGTGTCCAGTTTACGATCATTACAACAACAACAACAACAAAAGGTCATAAAATCAGATCCATTATGTGGGTGTTTCAACTTACAACTGTCATGACTTATAATGGAAATTCTGGGTTGCATTATGTCACCAGCTGAGGACTACCTGTACACAGCTAAAGACTTTACCCACAACAATGAATATTAGAATATTGATTCAGTTATAGAGATATTATATATCAGAGCTGTTTATCTAATATACTCAACTTTAATTGTACTCATTGATCAAATATGGGAAATCCCATATGGGTTTTTTTACTTGTGATTCCGCCACAATGTGGAAAAGAATCCACTCCAGCCTTAAGTGGCCTTAGTAAAATATCTTACTTCATCTCTGATTTTACTCATAGCGAGCATCTTTGTTCAACACAAAATTTAATTTTAACCAGACCTTACACATCTATTTATTTTAAAAAAGAGTAACAAAATTGGATCAAGACTTCACTTTAGGCCAAATAGAAGGACAATTCTACAGTATGTCAAATGTACACATTAATAATTCAGGTCCTCCACATTTTTGTTAATTCAGTAGAGCTGTTTCTCCCATTCTGAATGAAGCCAGAACCAGAGTAAGCAAGGAAATTTAAGGCAAAAGTTTTATTTATCTAAGCCGAAATAAGTAAAAAAATAAATTGAGATGGTGATTGCACAATTGCAGACCCTCTCCTTTTGTATGTGTGTGGATGACATACAGTTGTGAATAACATTTGGATTTTTTCAAACACACACACACCCAGAACATCAATGCATTGAAAGCAGGATAAATGGCTGTTATTGTGGTAACTCAATACCAAAAGATATTGTGGTAATATCTTTAAAGCTGCAGCCTTGATTTGTTAGCTTGGGTGTGGCAATAATTTCTATACCAAAAATTTGAGCAGGGAGATTAGAAATAAAAGTCTTTACTGGTATAAAATGATGATAGGTGATTCTTGGTTTAATTTGACTTATTTTGCTTTTTTGTCTCTTATCTTTGCCAGTTCTATGGCAGTGTTTCAAGAGCTATTTTATCTGAAAAAAAAATGAGTTAATCTGTCATATTTCTTTCCACTCTCATGCAAAACCAAGCAGCTTCGTATTCAGAAAAGTACTTTATTCTTTATTGACATACTTTGCTTTGTTCAAAATTCCTTAATTGCTGTCTCTGAAATTTACCACATACTCCACACTATAGGAGTTTCAAACTGTACCACATTCTGTTCAGTGGTGAAATGCAATTTTTTTTTACTACCGGTTCTATGGGTGTGGCTTGGTGGGCGTGGTGTGGCTTGTGTGGCTTGGTGGGCGTGGCTTGGTGGGTATGGCAGGGGAAGGATACTGCAAAATCTCCATTTCTACCCCACTCCAGGGGAAGGATACTGCAAAATCCCCATTCCCTCCCCACTCTGGGGCCAGCCAGAGGTGGTATTTGCCGGTTCTCCGAACTACTCAAAATTTCCGCTACCAGTTCTCCAGAACCTGTAAGAACCTGCTGCATTTCACCCCTGATTCTGTTCTAAAACAAAAACAAATAAGTCACATACACCTTTTAAAAAAGAAATTTAAAGGAATGCAGCTTGAAAAGTCTATTACCAGTTTCTGTGAAATTTGGCAGGTTTGATTCTGTCATAGCAGTGTTGTTTACCTGTAAATTTTATTTTATTCTGCGAAAGGCAAAAAATTAAGGATACTTCAATAAATTTGAAATTATTATAACATCAACTACTTCTTTCTAACTTGCAGAAGAAACAGAGTTGAAGGTAGGAATTAATGCCAGGAATAATTCATTGTTGTAAACGTGTGGGTACATTTTTCTTTTATAAAATCACTGCTTAAGATTTTGCACATTCACAAAAAGGTTGACATTAGTGGGATTGACCTGGCACAAATCTAAGCTTTGGAGTAAATTTTAACAAAATGTTTAAGGAATGCATTGGAATACAAATGCAGCATCTGTCTGCCACTCATTAGAGCCGCTGGGTTTTTTTTTTCCAGAATGACACTAACTGCTGGAATGGTGGTTTCCATTTGACTGTGTGATCTTGACACATTTAATACACCAGGACATAAATTCATATCAAAACACTTCTTTGGACTTGGATCTAAAATACCGAATAAACTTTAGAAACCATCAATATTCTCAAACACAAACTAATAAAATATGCACCAAGATAAATTCCTTGTGTGTCCAATCATACTTGGCCAATAAAATATTCTATTCTATTCTATTCTATTCTATTCTATTCTATTCTATTCTATTCTATTCTATTCTATTCTATTCTATTCTCTCTCTCCCTCTCTCTCTCTCGCTCTCGCTCTCGCTCTCGCTCTCTCTCTCTTTCTCTTTTAAATAGATCTAGAATAATATTGGAAATAAGGTTGATTCTAAGTCCAGTGCTACATTTCACACTGTACCAACTTTCCAATGATTAGGTTAGTGTTTCTCAACCTTGGCAAAGTATTATGAAAATTGAAGTCCACACATCTGAAAGCTGGAAAGGTTGAAAAAACACTGGATTAGGCTTTCCTTTAATTAAAAGGGAAAAAAGTTAAAGAGGCAAGGAGCCCAGTTAACATTAAAGGTGGCTCTATTGATATACATTCAAGGTTATCTGCTCCTGGATTTGTCTGCTCTTGGTCCATATCTATTTTCCATGCATTCATAAATCTGTTCCATTCCTGTAGAT